GTGAGAGATCCGAGTTCAGCTTCTAGCTCTTCTACTCCTGCTTTCTGTGACCCTGAGGCTTCTTTCCCATCAGCAAAACTACCGGACTGGGCCACCACAGTGGCTCCCTCGGGGTGCTCCAGGGAGCCCCAGGGGTGCCCCAGATGGGTCTACGGCAGAGCTAGCTCCCTGGCTTCCCAGCCAGCAAAGCTTGGCTCTGGTCTCTCTTATGTGGAGGGTTCCTGTATCAAATTTCATGTGAAGAAAAGGCTATGTGGCTTTTAGCAAAAAGTCTGAAATTGCTACTGGATTAGCTCTGCAGTCCCTCACCCCAATACTGCGAGACTCCCCGCCAGAATAGCAAGTGCTGCTCTAGCACCCTTGGCCCCGCGTAGAAGCGGTACGGAGCACCCTCTGTGCCCACTGCTTCCTGCACGCGGGCCTCGCGTGTGCCCGCAGGAAGCACCGTCTTCAGGGGCAGGATGCTGCTGAACGTAATCTTCACGCCCGGGACCTGGGCGGCCCTGGGGAGGAGAAGGTGAGCGGGTGGGGGGCAGCCCTCCTCCGAGAGCGCAGCGGCGTGGGGTCCCAAGGCGGGGGAGGAGGGTCTGAGGGGAGCTGACTGGGGGCTGGGCAGGCAGGATGGCTCTGAAGTCAGATCCCAGCTCCACCTCTTACAAGACATGTGACCTCAGCAGAACCTCTCTCTTGTCCTCATCTGTAAAATGGGGGCAGGAGTGCCCACCTCCTAGGGCTGTGGCAGGGGTTGAGTGGGCTAGGTTTGGAAGGTGCTGGCCTAGGGCCTGGCAGGAGTGCGCTCACCATACCAGGCATTGGTAGCCTCGGAGGTTGTGTTGACGTGGAGGCTGCCTGGAGCCTCAGAGAGGCAGGTGGGTGGACTGGCACTGACCATTTCCCAGCAGGGCGGCTCCTTTCAGAAACCCTTCCAGCAAGTGCCCGGACCTCACAGCTGCCGCTGGGCAATGTATCAGTGAGCTATTTCTACATAACAAGTAGCCCAAGGTTCAGCAGATTAAAACAACAATAATTTATGATTCCTGTTCACGAATCACATGGTGGAGAGTTGGCTGATCTTGACGGAGTTCTCCTGCGTGTCTGGGAGTCTGCGCTGTCAGCTGACCTCAGCTGCCCAAGGCCCAGCTTCATATGCCAGCTCGTCATGTGTCGCCAGCGGGCTACCCTGTGCACACGCTTCCCTTGGCAACAGCGGGGCTCAAGAGGGCAAGGGAAATGCACGCGGTCTCCAGAGGCAAGGCTTGGAGCCGGCACACTGTCCTTTCTGCCACATCATACGGGCCAAAGCAAGTGTCCAGGACAGCCCAGACTCACGGGCTGGGGAAATTAACTCTGCCTCTTTAGTTTGAGGAACTGCAAAGGTATGAGGCAAAAGGTAGGAAGACAGGGAGGAATGAAAAACTGGGCCATCCCTGCAATTTACCACACACTATTGCTTTAATGAGGCACCTGTAAGGGTCTCCCTGCCTTGCTAGCTAACTGCTATTCCTCGTTCATTCCCGTAGGTAAGGGAACTGTGGGTTTGGAGTCCGGATGCCATGCTAGCTGGTGGGTGTCTGGACCATCCACTAGTCTGAGGCCTGATGTTCATCTAATCACACACCCACCTTCCCAGCCCCTGACTCCACTCCAGCACTGGCTGCATTCCAGCTCTGACTGCCATAGTACTTGGTGCCTAATAAATTGAATTCATATTTGCTGCATTCATTCATTCTTTTATAAGAATATATTTATTGTGAAATATAGTACACAGAGAAAAGCGCATAAAATATATGTACAGTTTAGCAGATTATTACCAAGGAAATACCCTTGTAACCATTATCCAAGACTAAGGACTAGAACACCACCTGACTCCCTGAGACTCCTAACTGTCCCCCCCTCCCCAGTGAAAATCTCCTCACTCTCTCAGCAGTAACAGCCACTATTTTGACTTTATGGTAACCCTTTCTGCTTTTTTTTTTTTTCTAGGAGTTTTGAGATGGTTAATTTCAGATGTCAACTTGACTGGGCTACAGGATGCCCAGATATCCGATTGGACATTATTTCCGAGTGTGTCTGCTGGGAGAGATTAGCATTTAGATTGGTGGGCTGAGGAAAGCAGGTACACCCCTCCCCAGGGTGGGTGGGCGTCATCCAAGCCACTGGAGCTTGAACAGAGCAAAAGGCAGAGGAAGGTTGGATTTGACATCATCTTCTCCCGGCCTGGGTGTTCCTGGTCCTCAGGCCTGGATTGGGATCTACGGCATCAGCCGTCTGGCTCTCAGGCCTTGGAACTGCACCACGGCTTTCCTGGGTCTCCCGCTTGCAGACAGAAGACTGTGGGACTCCTCAGCCTCATGGTCCTGTGAGCCAATTCCTGGCAGTAAATCTTTATAAATACAGGTATGTAGACATATTATACGTCCATATTCATCTCAGTCTCTGCTATTGGCTCTTTTCTCTGCAGAACCCTAATTCAGGAGTTTTGCCATCTAAGTAAGCATCCTTTAGCACTGTGGTTTAGTGTGGCCTGTTCTTGCTTTGCAGTAAATGGGATCACACAAGCTCTTCTGTGTCTGGCTTCTTTACTCAGTTGTGCTTGAGGAATTCATCCGCTCCCATTTGTCCAGGTGTAGTTTGTTTTCATGGCTCTGCCATATTCCGACAGATAAATACCGCAGTGGACGTCTCTGTTTTCCTGTCGATGGATGTTTGAGTTGTTTCCAGGTTGGGGACAAGACTGGGTATAGTCCTGCCCTGAAATTCCATGCAGTTCGGCATGCTCCTGCTTGCCTGTCTGTACCCCAGGAGTGGCATCGTGGGGTCCTCATTTGGCAGCTTTTGTTCAGCTTTAGGGCACGGTGCCAGATGGTTTTCCCAAGTGGTTATACCACTCTATCAGCCAAGACATGATATTTTTCTTTTATTTTCCTCCCAGCCTCCTCCCCCTTCTCTTCCCTTCCATGCATTCATTCATTTAACCACGTTTGCCGCAGGCCCCAGAGACCTGACTTGAAGAGGCAGCGGCTCCCACGCTGGCGGCTCCCATGCCCCCGTTTTGTTAAGAGTCACGGTTCTGCTGCGGGAGGTGGAGGACCGGGAGGAGGATGGAGTGGAGGATCAGGTAGAGGATGGGGTGGAGGACAGGGTGGAGGATTGGGTGGAGGATCAGGTAGAGGATGGGGTGGAGGATCAGGTGGAGGACCAGGTGAAGGACGGGGTGGAGGACCGGGAGGAGGATGGAGTGGAGGATCAGGTAGAGGATGGGGTAGAGGACAGGGTGGAGGACCGGGAGGAGGATGGAGTGGAGGATCAGGTGGAGGATGGGGTGGAGGATCAGGTGGAGGATGGGGTGGAGGACCAGGTGGAGGATGGAGTGGAGGATCAGGTAGAGGATGGGGTGGAGGATCAGGTG